GCTAACAGAAGCTAACAGGCTCACCGACGGGTTTGTGTCCGATCATCGCGTGGAACAGACAGACCTCCACCTCGTGGCTCCAGACCACCGAGTCCTCCCCGGTCACCAACCCGGAGTCCGGAGGCTTCTCGTCGGTCTGACTCAGCGTCACGTCTGCCTCCCCCATACTGAACTGAAAGAGTTTAAAAACAGGAAGAAGCTAACAGAGCTAACTGCTACAGCGGCGGAGCCTCGAGACTGTTCCGGCAGCCGGAAGTCTCATTGTACCTCTGAGTTTTATTTTTTCAGAATAAAAGTCTTCACCACAGAAATCTGCCCGAAGCAAAATGTAATTTATTACTCGTTACTCTCTCACTTATTACTCCCTGCCAACAGTAATTAGTTACACTACTAACCAAACTTCAAACTGACGACAATTAAAAGCCAGTTTTGATCAGTAGGAGACAACAACAGTAATGTAACTATTATTATTGGGGGTAACTGTCAAATTATTAATGAAATGTATTAGTAAATAGTGACACTACTAGTTACAGGGGAAAATATTACCGTATTAGTAATACCTTACTGCTCAACACTGGTCTGAAGACGTAATTTTAACCCCCAAAACTAACAAATAACAAAGTAAATAATAAGTAATGTCCTGATATGGAGCACCGCTCAAGATGGCCGTCATTAGTTTAAAGAAATACAAAACAAGCCACAATGTTTATTCCCGATAGCAGGATGATAAGTTATTATGGCTTTTAATTTTATTTACAAATATGTAGGTGTGGAGTTCCTCAGGGATCTATTGTAGCTCCTCTGTAGTTCTTAAAACAGATAATTTACCCAGACCTAAAAGTGTCCTTATTATATTCAATGTTCTGAAATACTTGGAAAATGTTGTTGGCCAAAAACGCACCTTCAATAATTGTGCTACTTTTTTATATAAAGTCATGTTACTTTGAGGTCTTTAATCATATTAATGTATTTAAATAAGAATAAAACTGTAAGAATAAAGGTTTTGTGCATGAAAGAACCAGACTGACTCAGAGTTATGCTTCTCTATACGGTGATCAAAACACCAAAAACTTTACTGCAAATAAAATAGATACAGTCGGGGCCGTAGAACGACCTCCTGCACAAATGCAACCAGAGAGAGAAAGAAAAACATTTCAGGTACATTATATTTAAAATGATGAGGGGCTACTGAACGTCACTGAGCTGGATATGAGCATGATATTTCTGTTATTTTCTTTTTTTACATCAAAATACAAAACTGTGCATCTCTTAATAAAGCATCAACATCAATAACATTGAGAATAATAATGCGAGGCTGAATAGTCCAGTCAGAGCGGCTTTTTCTCAAGCGTCCAAAAACACATCCGTTTCCAGCTCTTTTCAATCTGAATAGTGACCTAAAAAAAAAATTATATAATAATAAAAAAAAAGTGGTAAAAAAAAATCTGAGTTAACTTAAATTCAAACTTTTATTTTGAAATTCTGACTTTTAAGCAGAAACTGACTCAAAAGAATTTCATTTCTTTAAAAAAGAGCCACTCCACCAATTATAGACCTCAAGCTCAGTTTACTCATGATGGGTTGTATGTCTTCTATGCAGCTGTTTTGAGGCGAACTACTCGGGATCTCTCGGCTTCTGCCGCTTCAATTTGGACCATTCTGGTTTTAATCCGTCTCTTGTGAGTCGACTAACTTTACAGTGTGGTGGAGGAGCTCTTTAACACCCAAATTCTGATCTCCATCTTAGAATTCAGTCAGAGAGAACAACTGATGTTTGCCACAAAAATCAGCTTCAGGAAAAATCTGATGATCTAAACCCAAGAAGGAAAACAAAGAAGATTCTTTGTGGTGCGAAAAGTAAACTTTCATTTATTTTCATTGTTGATTAATTAATAATCATTTGGTCATTATGTTGTTTTGTCTGACCACAATTATGTAAAAACAGAAAAACAGCGACATCTGAAAACCTCGAACCAGAGCAGTTGGAGTTTAAGACGGTTCACGAATTATTTTATGTCGATTATTAAAACATAAAAACATCTGAGAACGCTTGAGGAAAGCGTGCTCATGTTCACAGCTTATTGGCTGAAGAGGCCACAGGGCTCCTCCCCCTCGCAGCCTCTCCACCAATAAGATCTGAGCACTGGAAATATTCAGCAGAGGAGGTTCAGTCTGCCTCCTCCTCCCTTTACTCCTCTCAGGCCAGAACTTTAAGACTGGAAGCAGGCGTATGGAGGGCTGTAACCAGGTAAATGCTCACCTGTCCTCTCAGGTAGACTGAGTTTGGGGAATACGTTTGGTCCCTTTGGTTCACAACTGCAGCTGTTGTCAATTTTAAGTTTTTACTTCTCCACAAAGACATTCACACCTGTAGCGTCGTTCACTGCGTCGTAAGGGAGATTTATTTCCCGGTAAGCAGCTGGGACGCACATAAGGTCCGACACAGAACAGCTTCGACAGATGTATACAGTTAAAAACTCGTCTTAAAGTTCTGGCCTTTTAAAAGTCAAACAAAACAGAAACAGGTGAGAAAGCAGAAGGCAGAGTGAGCGGCGCCAAATAAACCAGGAAGTGAAGAAACCCGGAGACTAAGAACCACGCCGGCATGATCAACGCGACGTCCTAAAAGTAGGAGTGGTGAGTTTACAGCTCGGGCACCTGAAATTAATTTATGGTTCTTTAAAGACGGAGGAAGTTAAAATAGAAAACGAACAGGAGCGTTTGTTTTACCCTGCGACTTTCACACTGTTGAGGCTAAAACAAACGCTCCTTCCTGGTCTATCTGAGCCGACGGGCTGCGACACACACAGAGATCGGTGTGATGATACTGCGGCTGGTTTCACACAGATACTGACGCCCAAAAACATATTGCTACCGTGAACGTACGATAAAACCGCGGTGATGTTTTGGTGTAAGATCTGGCGCCGCAGAGCGTTTCCTGTGTGAGAGCAGCGGGCAGACAGAGAGAGGAATCATGGTAGGCACCGAGTCTGAACTGTTGTAACGAAAAAACAACCTTTAATTACACACACACCACCACCGGTAGCACGACAGCAGCCGTTACCACGGAGGCCAGCGGCCCGTTCCCATGGTTATATCAGAGACAAAACACGTTGGCTACGTGTCCCCCCCTTCGCCCACAAACAGGAAGCTGGAGAGGTGGGAGGGGCGTCGGTGAAATGTGGTGGCAGCAGGCTGGATGAGAAGTGTTTAAGGGGACGGGCAGGAGGAGGCGGGCAGCGAGGGGCGGCGGTGGATGCTATTGGTCCTTTTTCTCCGATTCTGATGAGTCCTCTTTAGCACCTTCCTCCTCAGGAGGAGTCTCCTCGTACCTGCAGAGGAAGAGGAGGAGAGGAACAGATACATGACAAAGGTTTCCATATTCCTCAATCAGCAGAACTTTATTCACGTCTGCATTATTGTTTGTATGTAAAGTGGTTCCATATATATATAATGTTACAATGTGGGATGTTTATGTTAAACGAGGTAAACGTATGTAAAAGTCATCACTGGCCGCCGTCGGCTCGTCACTGATTCACAACGTACGGCTCTGCTCAGGAGTGCAGAAAGTGCTTGTTCTGTTCGTACGGCTCTCGACTCTCAGGGATTTACAGAGTTTACTGATAACTGCTGCTCACAGACTGGGAGCTCCTGGACGAGAGATAAAACAGGATGTATAAGTTATGTGTTACTGGATCCCTTGGGTCTCATTCAGAAAACAAGCATTTTAGAGTCATTTGCTTGGACAGACCCAATAAAGAAATATAAATCCAGACATTTTACGAATCTGCATCATGACGTTGTTTATTATTGTTATTATTTATTGGCTAAATCTGTTTGTTTTGGGCTCATA